AGAGAAAAAAAAAAAAAAAAAATCACACATTGAAAAGATACTAATTCTTAATATAAATTTTTTTGACTCCTCAAACATCAAATTTTTTCACTTTGGTAAAAAACACACATAAAATTTATCATCTTAACTATTTTAAAGTGTATAGTTCAGTAGTGTTATGTATATTTTACACTGTTGTAAAAAATTACACTGTTGTAAAAAACCACATATTTTTACACATTTTTGTTTCAAGTTGAACTTCAACAATGGGGCCTGTTAACATCCCATGACGATGGAGCCCAGAAGCATGCACATTTTTGGAAGAAGATGAGACCTGATGCACAGCCCTTAATCATGTTATAAGCTTTGGAAGGAAAATCCTCTATACCGTGGCTAATTCCAGGGGTAAACAGGCCTCCACTGTGCTGGTTTTATCTTTGGTGATATCTTCATGATCGATCTCCTCAGAAGTGCAGGAGTAAAATTCTAGGGTTTGTCTGGCCTGTAAAATATAAAAAAATCTCAGCTTATGATATTAGTAAGGCACCAGGCTCCCCATAATGCTGGCACCAAAGCAAGAGTTGGCTGCCTTTGACCGCCATCTCTGACCTGTAGAAAATTCAAGGTCTTCATAAGACCAAAGAAACAGGTCATTGACACTCTCTCCCATTCCCTCCTCTCCTTTTGCTTATGACATGTTTCTCCGGATGATATCTTTTTCCGTTATGTAAATACCATAAATCATTTCAACAGGCCGTGCTAATCAGCCTCTACACCATGCTGGGACACTTGCTTCTGGTGAAAACAGTTTTTTTTTTCCTTTTGCCAAAGCATCTGTGTTTTATGAATATCTTTTTCAAATATAGCTTCTAGAGGGGGATTGTTAAGGTCACCACTTGATGGATATAACCAACATGCAACCATGAAAACAAGTGGAGATTTAATGTGTAGTATATACACACACACACCATCTTACCAGCATGCTGAACACATTTATGAAATTTAGTTTAAGAAGTCAATGATTTGTTGATTAAAGATTGAGATCATTTTTCCATTCAACAAGCCTGATATATTCTATGCTAGGTACTAAGGAACGTGACAAAGAAGGGGGTTGTATTATTCCCGCCAGGATTCCCAGTTCAGCTGTGGAGACAGGCCAGTGCCCAAATGACCAGGGGACATGCCAGCAGGTGAGAAGGGCTAAACTGAAGGGTCAGAAGGCTCTGAAAAGGGAGTGGAAAGAGATGAAAAGGTGCCCCAGGGATGGGACATCCTCAGAGGAGGGGGATCGTCAGGCAGAGGGAACAGCATAGGGCATGAATCAAAGCTTGAGACTACAGGACACGTGTGGCAACAAGTAGTAAAGCTTGCTACCCTGTCTGCGGTAGGAAGAAAAATGCCCCCGCCAGAGATATCCACCTCCCAACCCCTAGAACCTGAGACTATGTCACATTATGTGGCAAGGGGGAATTAAGGTTGCAGATGAAATTAAGGTTGCTAATCAGCTGACTCTGAAATAGATTATCCTGGAGTGTCTGGGTGGGTCTAGTGTAATCTCTGGGGCCTTGTAAATGGAAGAAAGAGGCTGGAGAGTCAAGGTCAGAGAGATGAAGCATGAGAAAGACTCATTTGTTGGCTTTGAGGATGGAAGAGGGCCACCAAGGAATGTGGGCTGCTTCTAGACGTTGGAAAAGGCAAGAAAATGAATTCTTCTCTAGAGTCTCCAGAAAGAGATACAGCTCTGCTGACACCTTGATTTTAGACCAGTGAGACCCATTTCGGATTTCTGACCTCCAGGGCTGTATGATAATAAGTTTGTGTTGCTTAAAGCCATTAAGTTTGCGGTAATTTGTTACAGCAGCAATAGAAAATGAATACACTGCTCCTGGAGGCCTGAGCAGGTTGTAAAAAGTTAGATTTGCAACTACACTGCAACAAGAAAAAGAAAACAATCTCCAAATAAGACAATAGCTTTATTTCTGTGATAACTGCTTCCCTTTATTCCAAAATGAAACAGTGACTATCTATATTATTATGGCATTGTTAAAAAAGATGAATCTATGAAATAGTGCCTGGCATACAGTAGGCACTCAATAAGTACTTTTTAAATGAAAAAATGAATAAATAGAGCAAAAAAAAAATTATATATATATATATTTGGAAATGTGGGTCCAACTGCTATAGTTCTTCAAATCTTTTCAGGAGAAGCTAGAAATCTGGATTCTTATATGAACGGTCTACTTTTTCAATGACATCAAACTCAAAAATTACAATAAACTATAAAAGACACTGGCCAGACTTGACAGATCTGTGGACTGGATATGGCCTCTGAATCACATGCATTTGCCACCTCTGTTTTCTCCACAAGTAGCCAGCTGATTTGTTCTGGCAAACTCGACACAGGAATCCTATTAAAAAATCAAATTGAGTTCTGTGATCTTCTAAACTTTGGTGCTACCTCTGGGGAGTAGAAGAGTCAAATTTTTCACATGAAGCATCTATTTAAATCAGAGCTCCTAAATTTTACCCATACCAAACTTTTCTTTAGGAATCAAAGGACTTATCTCTGCAGTTTTCACTTGGTGAGCTGCCTTTTTAATTAAGATGGATTGAACTGTAAGGAAAAATGGGCAGCCCATTATGAAAGGTTGCGGGGGCGGGGGGTGGGAAGAGTTCCTTAAGAAGAACTCGTGGCACTGAGCTTACTTTAAGACATTCATAAAGCAACAAGCTAGAAATATTCCAGAAAGATTTACTAGAGAGCAGGAAGGTCAAAGGACATCTTTAAAAACATCAGTTTAGGCTGTTGCAGCCAAAGCAATAGATGTTGGAGTGTTTTTAAAGGAAGAAGAAAAAAAATTTTTTTGCATTAAAATGTGAAAGCTAAAAAAAAAAAAATGAAGCTTTAAATAAAATTAGATAATTCACCCCCTAGAAAAGGAAGTCTGGACATGCACTTTCACAAGCCCCCTGAAATGTGTTACTCTGACAACAAACAGAGCCACCAGCCTGGAAGCTGGCGAGGAGCATGAAGGGGCAGGGCCGATTCATCTTTGTAGCCCCCGGAGCACAGAGGCTGCACCTAATAACAGTTTCCTGGATTGATAAGTTGTCAGAGGAACAGTGTGGGCCTGACACAATTCCATCTCTGTTGGCAGGCTACAGGGAACACTGTAAATATCCACTTTCCTCTGTGTAGGCACAGCCAAAACGAATGCCATTGTAATTTATGACCTCTCCTGCCTTCTCTGGAGACACAATTTCATTGAGACTCTTAAGCTAATAGTTGGGCCATTTGTAAAGTTCCCTCTTTCTCTCTTGACAGCTCCTGATTAACTTCCACAATTTCCCCGCAGTTCCTTCAGGTGACCAGGGGTTCAGAGGTGTCCCTTCACTAGAGAGACTGCAGTGGAAACAAGGTGGGAACAAGGACAATGAAAAGCTCACCTTCTGCAGCGTGTCGCTGACGGCCCTCAGCAGGTTTTGGGAGTAGTTGAGGCAACTCCTTCCTGGGCCTGCTGTGGTCGGGGGGAGGCTCCTGCCCAAACTGAGGTGGGGCAGGTGGTGGAGGAAGACCAGGGTGGACAGGAGGAGGAGGCCTGCAATGGAATCCAGGGCAAGAATGAGCAGGCCGACCTCCACCTTCCATCTCCTCTGGCCATCTCCGCCGATCTCCTTCCTGGGCACCAGCCTCCCACTGATCTTTCAGAAACTGAGAGATGATGAATCAAGCTCTTGAAGGGCAGTGCTCTGTTCTAGGGCTGAAAGCCAACTCACAGACACTATTGCCTTGTGAGTTCAGACCAGGGCGCAGGGCAGAGTTCACCCAGAAAAAGTCTCCGTTTCAGGAAGAGGGAAAGCGAGGCCAGGTGGGGAAGCCACCCAGTGTTTTGGAAACAGTGGTGAGACATAGACTTGCTTTGAAGCCAACTGGCTGGGATCTGTCCTCTTAATGGGGTCGCCAAGGGAGCCTGGGCAAGAAATTATCCTGCGGGGCCTCAGTTTCTCTTCTGCGAAGTGGGCATAATACTTAGCTCCTGGGTTAAGAGAGAGGATGTCTTATCGGGCGCAGGATAAGCCCTCAGTGTCTCCCTGCATCCTTCCTTCTCTGCACGAAATTGCCATCTTCCAGTCTCCACGTAGCCCATCCCAAGTTTCTGCCGCCCGGCCGCGGTCCCCCAACCTGAGGGCGAGGCTGGTTACTCACTGCGAAGCGGGCACATGCTGAGCGGAGCGGCGGGGACGCGGAACCGAGCCGGCAGCTGGATGCAGACGGGTGCACGCGGCAGGTGAGGGTGGTGGTTGGGAGGCCAAGCCAGGGGTCACATTTTTATAATTGCCCGAGGCGCGGTAGGACTTTCCCGGGACTCTGATCTCTTGCTTGCTTTCTCTCTCTGTCTCTCTCTACATCAGCTTCTCGATGACACGTGGAGTCTAGCCCGCGGGGCTGGAGCGCTTTCGGATTAACTCCCCGTGCGCCCGGCCGCAGTCGTTCCGGGACGGCCCCGCCGCCTCCGGCCTGGCCCAAAACGAAAGTGAAATTCGGCGCAGCGTCGCGGCGCAGGGTCCCCGGGCAAGCCCGACCCCTGGCTCGCCCCCCTCGGACGCCCCCCGCCCCCAGCTCCCCAGCCCTGGCCCCACCGCTCCGCAGCGCCCCCTCCCGACGGAACGCCGAGTAAGGCCATCCCCCGTCCATCCAAATCTAGGATGAGATCTGACCTCTCGCCTAGGTCTGGATGGGGGTAGGCAAATCATTCAATCATCATTCATTTTTTTCAGATAGTCCACGGTGCGCCAGGGCGACACTGACGGGCACCCAGCAGTGACCTGGTCACTTTCGGCTCACTCCCACACCAAATCTGACTTAATGTGTTTTATTCCTGGGTACCATCTTAAATACCAAAAGGGATGAAACTCTTAGAGAATCCAGTTTCTTACAGCGTCCAGGAGAGAACCGTTAGAATTTAGTGGGATGGATGTACAGAGTCCTGGGAGGAGAGGTCGGAGAAAGGTTATCAAGGAGCCATGGCGTTGAGGAGGCAGCAAAAGCGCTCAGAAGGAGGGAGCCGCGACTTGATTGTTGACAGGGGAGTAGGCATTAGATGGGATGCGAGTTCTAGGTCGAGGGCGCAGGGATCAGACACACAGTTGGGGAAGGTAAAGGGAGGGGGTGATCTGGCAGTCCTGTACTGGGTGTGAGGGTGGAAAGGGTGAGGGTGCTGCGCTGTGAGGGTAGGGTCTGTGCTGGGAAGTGTACATTCTGCTGAGAATAGTGGGAAGCCTTCTAGGGTTTTAGGCAGGAGATGCGGTTGCATTTGCATGATGGGAAAATCAGCAGTAGTGTGGAGGATGGGGGCTTCCCTGGGGGCTCAAAGGTAAAGAATCTGCCTGCAGTGGAGGAAACCTGGGTTCAGTCCCTGGGTTGGGAAGATCCCCTGCAGGAGGAAGGCATGGCAACCCACTCCAGGATTCTTGCCTGGAGAGTTCCATGGACAGAGGAGCCTGGTGGGCTACAGTCCATGGGGTCACAAGGAGTCGGACACAACTGAGTGACTAACACACAAATGCGGGGGATGGGTCCCAGGGGTCAGGAGTGGAGGGCATGACCAAGCCCTATTCAGATTGGAGACTCAAGGGTGGGCAATGGAATCCTTAGGGTGGGGAGGGGCCAAGATTTGGTAACTCCTCAGGTGAGCAGGATAGGAAGGTGCCGAGGATGGCTGAAGAGAGGTTGTTCTGGTTCCTGCACAGGGGTTACTGTAAGAGGGGAGTGAGTTTGGAGGAGACACTGAGAAGTTCCACTTTGGATGTGTTGGGTTTGAGGTTCCTGTGGGACTTTTCAGTTCACTCATTTCTACCATGAGTGTTAGTCACCCTGGGTATGTATGAAAGGGAAGGGTGTGTTTGGTCATCCACTCAGAGCCTCCAATGGATCTGACTGCACTATGGCCCCAGGACTTCAGTGTTCAGTGTCCAGTGTCCACCTTTGGGCAGATGCACTCATCTTGTAGAGGGATAAGCCTTTTGGAATACAGGAGAGAAGAGTGGTGCTTCCTCTGGATCCCTGTTGAAGTCTGGATGGATGAGCTCATAGTAGGCCTTGAGATGTTACCCTGAATGCATGGCAGGGCAACCTTTACTAAAGATGTGGTGATGAAACCAATTAGGAGAAAGCTGTGTTAACCCCTCCTCTGATTCCAGCTCTCTCTTTTGTTGGTATCAGTCCCCTTAGCAGATCATCTGCTATGAGGTACCCACCACAGGGACTTTTAGATGTGTGTAAAATGAGACCAACAGTTGATCTCTAAGGCTCCTTCCAATGTGGTCTATGAATTACCCCCTTGGGGATGGAGAGCAATGCATTGTCAGAAACGGTTGCATCTGCAGGTTGTGTGAAGCAAATAAGGGGTTCTGAGCTATACTGTTGCCATGGGGATTTAGGATGGAGTTACGTGTACTTAAAGTCAGAGTGAAATCAAGTTTAGCAGAGCCACTTCTCCCTTGGAAAGGCTGTCTCCTGTGAAAAAGAATTTCTGCAGCGTAAATGAGCATAGGGCCTCTGTTCAGAATGGATTCTTGGCCGCCGGACATGGTTGCTAACCTGTACTTTAGTGAAACAGTTCTCTGATGTGCTGCACATTCTGTAGCCAGGGTCAAAGGACAGCCTTCTTCTGAGATAACATCACTTTTCTATAAGAGGCATTCTTTGCCCATGATCGCTACTACATGATGTCTAGCACTATACTGGAAGTCTTGGCCAATGAGATAAGGAAAGAAAAAGAAATGAGAGATTTAAAATTGGAAAGTAAAAGGCAAAACTCTTGTTATTTACAGTTGATATATAAAAAAGCAACAGAAAGAATAGATCAAATACTAAACTAATAAGAGAATTAGTCTGTATGGACTCTATCTTCATTGGATACAAATACTAACTTTCAAAAATCAACCAAATTTCTCTATATCTGTAACAACCTTTCAGAAAATATGATAAAAATAATGTACCAGATAGTAAATAGACAGTAATAAAAAGAAGATACCATTCACAATAGTAGCCAAACTATAAAGTAACTGCCTGTTGATGGAGAGCAGTACAGTGGTTAAGAATATGGACTCTAAACTTTTTGAATCCAGGTTCTGTTAGTTACTTGCTGTGTATTCTTGTGCAAATTACTTATCTGTCCAAGCTCAGTTTCCTTATCTGAAAAATGATGCTAATAAATGTACTGTAGGGTGGTTGTGATTATTACATGAGTTAATGTAAGCATAAAATCATCTTTGGGGAAAATTCAGTCAAGAACATAGAGTGATTTAATTTAAATGGAAACACATAACCTTGGAAGATCTTAAGATATAAATAGCCCAAGTCTCTTTTAGTTAATTCACATATTCAATGCAATCCCAATACAAATTACAAATAACTTTTCTGAGGAACTTAATAATAAGCCTAATCTAAAATATAAAAGAATAAAAGCACATGAATAATATCTAAGTTAAACCTGTAAAGAAATAATAGAGATAGGCAAATAGCCCTACCAGATATAAAGATACAGTTCAGAGCAATAGTAAGAAAAATAACATTTGGCAATAGGACAATCAAATGCACCTTTCAAAAAAAATAGAAAATTATAGACAGACTCATATGTATGTATATTTAGTATAAAGGTATGATGACACTTAGATCAATCTGGGAAGTATGGATTGTTTAGTAGAAAATATTATCATACAAAATTGGAGCCACTTAGAAGGAGGTTAAAGACTAAATGTGAAAAGTAAAATTAGTACAGTAGTAGAAGAAAATGTAGGACACTATCTTCATCATTCAAGAGTGGGAAGGACTTCTTAAAAACATGAAAGCCCCAAGCCATAAGTGAAATACTCATATATTTGATTACATAAAATTAAAAAATTTCTGTAGTATGATTTCCTGTTAACTATGGACAAAGTTAACAGATAGCTGACAGACTGGGAGAAAATATTGTGCAATGTCTAAAACCAACAGGAAAGTATAGAAGGAACTCCTAAAAGTCAGTAAGAAAAAGAAACCCCAATGACAATGGGCAAAGCTTATGAACAGGCAACAATATACAGAGAAGAAACCTCAAAGGCTAACCAGAACAGCAAAGAAGAATAATATATCACTTTGACCTTTTAGACCACCAAAAAAATGAGTACACTGGGCACTGACAATTGTTGGTGAAAATGTAGGATCCTAGGTTCTTTTTATGTAATACAAGTAGATTGATGCAGCTATACTGGAGGGCATTTGGCATCTGGCTTCAGTTGGATTAAGTATATGCATACCGATTATCCAGTGTTCTAGCTTGGATATATATCCTAAAGAGATATAGATCCCAAGTCCATAAAACAGCATGTATGAAGATGTTCATACATGTTAAGTCATTGGTTGTAGTGGAGGGAGTTGGAGACCATCTAGTTGCCCACCAGTGGGGAAATGAATAGAGTGTGAGGGATCCAGTTCCTGGAGTATTCTGCAGCATTTAGAAGTAGCAGACTAGAGGTATACACATCAATATGAGTAGATCTTTAAAACATAATACTAGGTAAAAACATAAAGATAAAACCAGAATAAGATCTGTGTATAATTCTAGACACAGACAGTTCAATCTCTTGCAGTCAGGTTTGTTTAGGAGTACAAAAAAAATTGGATTTTAGAAAAAGAAAAGGCAGTATCTCATGATTGAACACAATATTTCTGCAGCAAAATGTAGGAATGTGTTACATTAAGTAACAGGATAAAGGTTACAAATAACCTTATGTCCTTCCAAATAACCTTACAATAACCTTACAAATAACCTTACAAATAACAGGATAAAGGTTACAAATAACCTTATGTCCTTACAAGTAACCTTACAATAACCTTACAAATAACAGGATAAAGGTTACAAATAACCTCATGTCCCATGTATCAGATTTTACTAAGTGAGTGTAAGGAAAAGCTTTTGGGGTCCAGAACTGTGAGGTTTCAGAATTGCGGATAAGCAATTGCAGACTTACGTTTACTTTAATGAGAAGAATATATTCAAAATGGTACATGTTATACAAGGACACTCACAAACAAATGAAATGAGTTAAACATACTAGGATAGATCCCCCTGAGGAGTGATGGGATGAGAATGAGGAATGCGGATTAAAAAAAATATATAAAAATATAAGTGTGTGTGTGTGTGTTTTAGTCTCAGTTGAGTCCAAACCTTTGCAGTCC